AACAAAAATCCCTTTGAAATATTTCATGGTATAATTTTGGTGGTTTTGAGTGGATATCAACAACGCCCAAGTTCCCCAGCCCAGCAATGACTAGCCCTGAGCTGCTGTGGCTCTCCGTTTATGTGCTATGAATTGAACCTGTGTTTCTGTTAGCCAGCTGGATCTGTGATGCCTAGAGCTGATGATGTATTTATTTTGTGATGGAAGCAATAAATAACTGTTCAGGGATTAAGACCTATAGATACCTCTGCCTCTTCCCGGCTCACCTTAGGGTAGTAGAGATGGCAGACTTCACCCAAGTCCTTGCCTGTCACCACGCCTAGCCGGGCAGCCAGCCGCTGGCAGAGCAAGCCTAGCACAGTGGCCCATAGCAGCACCCAGAGCAGCTGCAAGGGAGTAGAAGGGACCCTCAGCCAAAGCAAAGGGTGGCCTGGAAAGACTATGCCACATAGTATAGCCTTCTTTCTGAAGGTTCCCGGGGAACACCAACATCCCCTTACTCCCTAAGCCCCCAGGCCCCGACTCTCCACCCCCACTCCCTAAGCCCCTATCTTCCCACCAACAACCCCTTACCCCCCTCTTCTGGCTTGAACTTAATCCCTGTTCCCAGGCAAACCACCCATGCAATTTTCCATGGAGAATTGGGGTCTTAATTCTCTTAGCCAAGATACCGCCCAACCCCACAAAGCCAGTGTAGAGGCCCAGATTCAGTACTTTAAATCCAGCCACAGCACCAGCTTGAAGGTCCGACTCAATATTCCCTGGGTCAAGGAAAGCGATGCTCATGAGGAAGCCAGGCCCTGTGAAAGCCCACAGTTTCCTCAGGCTGAATGTGCCCTGGGGGAGTAAGCAGAATCAGGCCATCTTAGATATGGGGGTGGTTTTGGCTGTCCTTGGCCAGCCCCTCGGCTGAACCCAGCGGGTATCTTCAGCCCAGGCTGGCCATCCCTGTGCTCCACCTCCCACCTAGTGCTGCCCCCAACAGGGAGGAACCCGTGGGAGGTGCTGAGTCACCGTGGCTCTGCCTTTTGGATGGGTCACATTCTGCAGCAGGCTAGCATGTGACCTCTTGCAGGCTTGTCAATAGACCTCAAAGTCCCAAGAGAGGGACTGACCCTGTTGTAGTTAAACCTCCCTGTCCCAGCTCTTCCCTCCCCAGCCTTTCTCATACCTCAGGCCCTTCTCTCTAGGGACCACTTGAGGTCTTAGTCACTCAATCCTATTTTTGTGTCTGGCCAGTCAGCCTAGGAATCTGCTTGGATGGTGGCATTAGAGAGTGAGATCCAGTACCCACAGGATAAAAGCCCAAGCCTGGAACCCACAAATTGTTCTCTGACCTCCACGTGCATGGACACACCCAGTTCCAGGACAGCCTCTAAAGCCACAGAGAAACCCTGTCTCAAAACCCCCACCCCCCAAAAAGAAGAAAGATTATAGCAAGACTGTGTGACAGCATCCTAGAATCATCCTGATGCTTCTCTTTACCCCTGTGCACTTCCCTGCGTGGTCCCTTCCTCCAGTGCTAACATAGTCTCCAGGCTCTCCTTCCCCTCACAGGAAAGCTGAGGTCCTCTAGAGAAACGTTTGACTACTTTTCAAATAACTCCAAGGTACCCACTTAACCACTGTTGTGGGTCAAAGAAGATGGTACAAGTCCTCAGTAGAGCCAGGATGCTCTCAGAACACTTCCAGCATGCCTACCTGCTCTGTGCTGGGGATGGGGATCTTCTCACTCAAGTAGGTCTCCCGGGGAGGCACTTTTGGAGGTGCTGTGCCAGGCAGGTTGGAAATGGAGCCATAGCTAGGCCTGTTCAGCCGCTGGAGGCTCTTGTCACCTGTGAGGGACCCCAGGATGCTAGGTAGGTGTGCGCTTCTCTCAAGAGCCTGGGATTCCAGCTACCTGCCTCCTCCACTAACTACTCCAGCCCCTGTGACTGGCCAGTCCATCCCTGTGTCAAGCAGAGGTTTCGAGAATCACTTCCCTCCCAGTGAGCACAGAACTTCTCCAATCCAAATCTCCTGAGTCAGGGGATTTGTGAGATGTGAGGCCCAGAGAAGGGCGAGCCAAGGCCCCCAGCTTAGCTGCTGGGCCCCATGCTCTGCCTCCTCCATCTACTTTAACCCACAGAAGAGCCTGACTCCGGTCTGTCTATCCGACCAGAGCCCCAGAGACCAGCAGTCTTTCTTGCTGCCTTAAGTCTCCCCCAGTCTTGGTCTCCTTGTCCACCCTCCCCAACTCAATCACACCAAGTCCCTAGAGGTCACCACTCACGAATCATGAGGCAGCAGGTGTCTGATACAGTCTGTGTGTGGTCAGCTTGCCCAGCAACTTCTCAATCTGTTCCCTTCTATGGGTTCTGGCACAAGTGAGTAAGAATGGGGGAACCTGCATCCTTCCCATCCTGGCCAGACTCCTATCTCTGTATCACCAAGTGCATGCCCACAATTTCACACATTCAGTATTTCGAAACACCAAATGCAGAAGTGGGCAGTGGTGGCGGAAGGGGCTGATAACCCACAGCTTTGACCCTTGTTCCTCTCCGGGCTACCCTGTGCTCCATAATACTTCTGGTCTTGTTCCAAAATTATTTCTGATTGCAGGCATTTCCTGCCTTTTGAGTATTAGTGGTCACATCTCGTGGTCATCACTCACCCACCCACCACTACACACACACACAAACACGCACACACACACACACATAAATGATAAATGCTCATACATACACACTCATACAGTCAGGCCTTTTATCTCAGTCTGAAGATCAAGGGCCAGGAGTTGACCTAATGTGAGGGAGAGAGGCAGAGAGTCCATCTGTCCTGTATGCCTTCAAGGACCTCGGAGGTAAATATTTCCCAGGTCCTGCTATGGATGAATGCTGCATCCATAACACAGAATGAATTCCCGGGCATTTACTCCAAAGAAATTCACAATATGTCCAAAAACCTGTGCATGAAGTTTATAGCAACATTGTTTGTAATAGCCAAAAGCTGGAATTACCCCAGCTGTCCATCAGCTGGTGAGTGAATCACTGCTTGGCAGTAAAAGAAACAAAGTGTCACTACATATAATAAGGAGGGTAAATCTTCAGGAAGTTACACTGACTGAAAAGTTCAAAGCTTGGCTGGGCTGCAAACTGAATGTAATATCCCAACAAATTAGTGAAACCTTGTCTCAAAATGCAAAGTAAAACCGTAGTAGTAATAGGGGAGCAGTTTAGTGGTAGAACATTGGCTTAGGTTAAAAAAAAAAAGTCAAAAGCTTACCTATTAGTTCAATGTATTCAATGTAGTAGCACATGTCTTCAACCCCCATGACTCCAGAGGCCGACATAGGAGAATAGTAAGTTCCAGATGAACCTTGCACACACCAGCTTCATCCTTTGGTTTTTCAAGACAGAGTGTAGGTAGCTCAGGCTGGCCTCAAACTCACAATCCTCCTACCTCTGCATCCTGAGATTATAGGTACATGTCACACTTGCCTTGTGTGTGGTGTGCATGCATGCATGCGTGCGTATGTGTTTGGAGATGAGAGAGAGAACCTTGGGGATGGTGGGTGTGTAGATATGTGTGGTATATACATGTGTGTGACAGTGCTCTGTTGCACACTCATGCAGAGCCCAGATCAAGATATCAAGTGTTTTACTCTCTGTCTGCAGCCATGCCTGGCTTTTTATATGGGTGCTAAGGATTAGAACTCAGGTCCTCATGCTAGCAGAGCAAATGCTCTTACCCATTGAGCCATTGCCCTAGCCTGTCTTTCTTAATACAGTGGCAGCAAAGGAAGATCAGATCTGTGGTTGCCCCAGGTTAGGGATAGATCAGGTAGAGGATGGATGTGGTAGAAGGAGTCTTATGGTGTTGTGATGTGGCAGATATGGAAACCACATATAGACCAACTTTTCAGGACTTAATATACCCACAAGTCCATGCACCCCTCCACAGCTAATGAATGAGTCTAAGAGAAAGTGAGGATATTATGGTCCAGGATAATGGTCCATGACATTGGATCAGTGTTGGTATTCCAACTATAGTAAAAAGCAGAAATGCAAACAGACATTTGAACACTGTTCCTAGCAACATTATTCACATTAGCCCAGGAGTGGAAAATACCCACATGTCTGTCAACACATGGACAAATACAATACAGTATGAACATGGAATGGGATGAAACTGAACATCACAGAATTATGATGCATTAGATAATACAGCTAACCTCCCAAAACATCATGTTGGCTGGGTGTACTGTTACATGCCAGCCATTATGAAACTTGGGCAGAGGATACAGGAGTTCAAAGTCAGCCAGGGCTACAAAGTGAAGTTAAGACCAGTCTGGTCTGCAGTTGTGGTGGTTGACATCAGTTCTTTGGAACTCTGAATGTCACAAACACTGATGCTCACAGTAGCTTGTCAGGTTTGCTCACCACCATTACTGTCAAAATGTTCATGACCCCACAACATTTATGTGTTAAAGTCACTACCAAGGTGATGATAGGGCAGGAACCTTGGGGGTACTATTAGGTGTCAAGGACTCTACAATCATGAGATTACTGCCCTTTATAACAGAGGTTTGAGGGGCTGCCTGGGGATGTAGTTCATTTGATAGAATGCCCGCCTAGTGGATTCCATCCCTAGCATAAACAGGAAGCTGTGGTTCACACGTGAATCCAAGAGGTACAGGTTAGGAAGCTAGCTGCCTATGCTTCTTGAGTCCCTGTCTCAACATCCCTCAAAACAAAACTTGGGTCCTCCACAAAAGCAGTAAATGCTCTTAACTGCTGAGTCATCTCTCCAGCCCAGGTCGGCTTACTTTGCTTGTTTGTTTTCTTGCTTTTCTGTTTGTTTTGTTTTTTTGTGTGTTTTTTATTTATTTATTTATTTATTTATTTATTTATTTATTTATTTTTTTGGAGACAGGTTTTCTCTGTGGCTTTGGAAGCTGTCCTGAAACTAGCTCTTGTAGACCAGGCTGGCCTCCAATTTACAGAGATCTGCCTGCCTCTGCCTCCCGAGTGCTGGCATTCTTTTCTAGGTGGTGGTGAGTATGTCTAGATTCAGGGTGCCACAGGTTAAAATCCTGTTCCCCTCTCTGCAGGATCTTATGTAGCCTACACAGGACTCAAGTGAACTGAAGAGCTCCACTTGCTTCTTTGCCAAGTGCTAGGACTTTTGGTGGTGTGGCCCTAGTCGTTTCTGCCTCACCTCCTCATCTCTTAACTTTTAATATCATTTTGAAACAGGGTCTTGCTGTGTAGCCCTAGCTTGCCTCAAAACTCACAGCAGTTTTCCTGTGTCAGCTTCCTGAGTGCTGATTACAGGTGTGTGTGTGTGAACCATTTCTCTGAAATGGCCATAACCGTGGAAATAGCATCTAGGAAGAAAGGATAAAACTTGCTGAGTAAACAAAGTTATACTTCGAATTTTTGACAAGAGACAGAGACAGTCCCTGTTGGCAGAGTGACACAGGGCAAAGGAACCTGCTTATCTCCCAGTGAACCCACAACCAGGATACCCGACCGGGCCATCCACAATTTCTCGCTCCTAGCTATCTGCCTTGTCCTTTTCCAGATCCAAACTCTGGTTGTCGTCGTAGTAGTAGTAGTCGTCGTCGTCGTCGTCGTCGTCATCGTCATCGTCGTCATCACTCTTCTCGTCGTCGTTATCGTCATTCTCCTCGACTTTGTCATTGTCATCGTCCTTGATGTAGTTGCTTTCTTCTTCCTTGTTGGCCCTGTAGTTGACGTCCTCATTGACTTCATCATCGTCGTAGTCATATTCGTCAGCGTAAAAGTACTCCTCTTCCTCCTCTTCCTCCTCTTCCTCTTCCTCCTCTTCCTCCTCCTCTTCCTCTTCTTCCTCTTCCTCCTCCTCCTCGGACTCCAGCTGGCGGAAAGGGCTCGGCCGGTGTGAGGATCGTAGGGCAGGGATCGGCGGGCGCAGCATCGCGAAGGGCCCGAAGTGCTCTGCAGCGAAGGTGACCACATCCTCGGGCCGCCGGAGCAGCAGGAAGAGGAGGAAGTCGGAGATGAGCGCTTGGGCCTCGGGGTGCTGCCGCAGATAGCTGGTGTGGCTGAGGCGTAGCTGCTCCTAGTGGGGCATGGGGCAGTCCCCCACCAGAGCTGAGCGATTAGCGAGGAGCGCCAGGGCTGGGACCCCTTATCTCCCGGACATGCTCGTTTCCGCACTCCCCGTCAGTCCGTAGTAGGGAAACAGGTGGACCCCCTAGGCTGGCTGCAGCCGCTTCTCACCTTCCGGTTCAGGAATTTCGAGTATAGCTCCAGGTCTTCCTCCCACACCAGGGGCTTCTTACCAAACCGAGGCGGAGGCTCAATCACATCTGAGTGGAGTGAGCAAGGCACCTGTGTGCTCGCATACACAGGGCGACCCCAGAATGGCAGAGGTCCAGCCCTAAGGCTTGGAGCCTGAGGCTGGAGGGGGGCCTCCTCTCCACCTGATTCAAAGATCCTGACCCACCCCTAGCGCTGGATCCTTCCCAAACAAGAGACCAGGCTCCTTCCACCTTCCCTTCACCGTCCCACCCTGCCCTGAGCCACTTACCCTCTTCCCTCAAGAGGGGCATCTTGGTGATGATACAACACCCTGGAGAGCCCACCTGGACTCTCTTAGCCAGGTGCCTGCGGGACAATACAGAAGAAGTTGGGGAGAGTCTGGGCAGTGCCCAAAGGAAAACAATGAGCATGAGTGTGGCTCAAGCTCTCCCTCACCCACCCACCTACCCCTCAGTGTGCTGGGAGCCTTCTGGGAAACGACTAAGGTTAAATGAAGGGCATAATGGTGGGGCTCTAATCAGAGGATCGGTACCCTCATACCAGAAAGAGAAAGAAGAGACAGCTGTCTTCCCACTGGCTCACTGAAGAGAGCCAGAGTGGTGGCAGCCAGCAGAGATCTCATCAAGGAGCCAGCCATGTTGGCCATTGTTTAAGCCACATTAATTTACCTTGTGTGTGTGTGTGTGTGTGTGTGTGTGTGTGTGTGTGTGTGTACAATGCACATGCATGTGTGGAGGTCAGGGAACAACTTAGAGGAGTTAGTTCTCTCCTTCCACTCAGAGTTTCAGGAAGTTCATGAACTCAAGTCATCAGACTTGGCAGGAAGCTCCCTAACCACCTCCCCAGTTGAGCCGCCCCTTAACTTGGGCCTCCTTTTTTTGGAGGAGGCCTTTCTACTGTAGATGGCCCTCAGACTTAGGACCATCCTCCTGTCTCAGCCTCCCAAGTGCTGGGATGACAGATGTGAGCACCTGTGCCAGGCTCATCTGTGGTGTGTTGTCATGGCAACTGCCTTGAGGCCTCTGCTTCCTCTCCTTATCTTTGTAGTTCTTGGGTCCTCTCCCAGATAACCTCAAGCATCTGGCCTTGCCTTAAAAAATAATGCACACCAGCCAGACAGTGGTGGCACACGCCTTTAATCCCAGCACTCAGGAGGCAGAGGCAGGCGGATCTTTGTGGGTTCGAGGCCAGCCTCATCTACAGAGTGAGTTCCAGGACAGGCTCCAAAGCCAACGGATAAACCCTATCTTGAAAAACAAACAAACAAAAAAAGCACATCTATAGTCCTAGCACCTAGGGTACTAAGGCAGAAGGACTGTGAATTTGAGGCTAGCCTGGAATCACTTTTTTTTTTTAATTAAGCAAATGAGATGGACAAAGCAAAGGTACACCCAGAACTCAATGACAAAATGTCCTTGCAGTTTTGTAGGCACGGGCACCATTTGAGGTGAGACGTATCCTATCTTCCTGGTCTCTACCTGGCATCTCTCCACAGCGCCTCTCTGCCTCTCTCCCCAGCATTCTCCTAGCCCTGCCTATTTTCCTGCCTCTACTGGCCAATCAGTGTTTTATTCATCAAACAATAAAAGGAATATATATTCAGAAGGACATCCCCCATCATGGCAGTGCCATGGTGATAACAGTGACCCCGGTGCAAGATTCCACGCATGAGTGTCCTTTCTTCATGGTCGGAACACTCATACTTTGGTCCTCCCCACCAGTGGCTCACCCATCGGAGAGCAAGTAGAATTGGCAGGAGAAAGGGATGCCCTCCTCAGAGTGTATGGTTTGCTCCACGATGAACATTTCAGCCTGCTGGTTGCCCACTTGGATTGTCTGGAAGCCGAGGGATTGCTGCAGCAGCCAAAGTGTAGAATACAGTGAGGTGGTTGCCCATCACAGTGCCCCCATCATCTCAAGCCCTTTCCTCTCCTCAGGCCTTCATCCCTGCTCACCAGTGTTAAGCAACCCTTAGCAGTTCAGTTTGTCACGTACCACAAAGTTTGAATTGCATCCTCAAGATAAGTTGGGGATTCTTCACAGCCAGCTCCAGCCACCCCCTGCCACCTCCTCCCCAAGACATCTTAATGGAGGGGTGCTGCTAACATTTTGTTACAGGGTATGAGGGTCAGTGTGGGGAGGGAGGTGCTGTACAATGAGAGACCCTGGACAGTGCTTTAGGAAAAAAATCCTGAGCCAGCTTTTGGGAGGCAGGGGCAGGCAGATCTCTGAGTTCAAGGCCAGCCTGGTCTACAGAGTGAAGTTCCAGGACAGCCAGAGCTACACAGAGAAAGACTGTCTCCAAAAAGAAACTAAAAAAAAAAAAGAAAGAAAGAAAGAAAGAAAGAAAGAGCAAATGGCATTCATTCTCCAGCCACGCTGAGGAGAGGTTACAGTCTGAGGCTTGATGAGAGCTCCTGGAGAGGAGACAGGATCAGCCCTTTCAGTCTGAGGTAGAGTGTGCCTTTACCCCAACCTCAGAAAATGACGGGGTCCCAGGGATCGGTTTCCCAGGAGGAGTGGGAACAGTTGGGCCCCTCCCAGAGGATTCTATACATGGTGCAATGCTGGAGAACTACAGCAGCGACCTTTCAGCCGAAGTGTGGACGACCAGGTGGAGAAGGACCCCAGAGACCTAGATGGGCAGGCAAGGCCATTATAACCCTCAAGAACCAACTAACAGTTGAAAAAAGAGGCAATCTTTTTGGAAAGACATTAAATCTGAACACAGACTTTGTTTCGTTAACACAAGTTCCCTATAAATATGATTTATATGAAAAAAAAAAACCCTTCCAAGTATAATTCAGATTTGCTTAGTAGTAGAAGCTGTATAAGAAAAGGGTGAGGAGTGCAATGGATTTGGGGAAACCACTTCTGTGTCTGAAGCAAGAGAAGCCCCATGATGGAGTAGACTACTCAGAATATAATGGGAGTGGAGGTTCTCAGACACAAAGAACCCATGTTGAAACACCAGAAAATTAAGAACTTGGTTCAGCCTTTTGTCTATAATTACTGTGACAAGGTCTTCTTCAAGTCGCTCCTCATTAGCCATAAGAGGATACACACAGGAAGAAAACCCTATGAATGTAATGTGTGTAAGGAAACCTTCTCCCGTAAGGCAAACCTCATCAAACATCAGAGAATTCATACCAGAGAGAAGCCCTTTGAATGTCCTGAGTGTGGAAAAGCATTTACCCACCAGTCACACCTTTCTGTGCACCAGAGAGCACATATGGAGAAGTCGTATGAATGCAATGAGCATGGAAAGACATTTGCTCAGAAGTTTGAGCTCACTACACACCACAGGAGAGCGGCTCTATGAGTGCAACAAATGTGCAAAAACCTCCTTTAAGAAGTCAAACCTCATTATACCTCAGAAAATTCACACAGGGGAAAAGCACTATGAGTGTAGTGAATGCAGAAAATTATTTATCCAGAACTCACAACTTATCATCCATATGAGAACTCATACTGGGGAAAAATCCTATGGATGTATTGAATGTGGCAAAACTTCCAGCCAGAGATCAACTCTTAGATTACATCTGAGAATCCACACAGGAGAAAAACTCTAGAGTGTGCTGAGTGTGGGAAAGCCTTCAGCAATAAGTCCCAACGCAGGGTCCATCAGAGGGTTCACATAGGATAGGTCCTCAGGCTACAATCAGATTGTAGCCTGATGGAAAACCATCAAGCCAGAATTCTCCCAATGAGGGAGAAGCCTTCTTGAAGATACTGAAGGAACTTGGTAAATCACATTGAGATGCAAGCTAACTCAAAAACTTAAGACAAAAGGATACCATAAGAATATTATATTGAAAGTTATTATATATATATATGTATATATATACATATATATACATATACATACATACATATATATGTATATATATATTCAGTACCCACATCTCCAGATCCAATTGTAATAGACATACGGAGCTCTATTTTCATGAGCTTGTATGACTTTTTGTGCTGCTGGGATTCAAACCTAGGGTGTTGCCTGTGCTGGGCAAGTTTTTTACCACTGATCTATAATCCCAGTCCACAGTGACCTTTTTACAATCTTGAATGAATTGAATATTCTAGGATGAGAAATAAAGTTTAGATAGACAGTAAAAACAAACTCAAAAAAACCCACTAATACACAGACACCTGTGGTTGACCACTGCCCTCCACCTGCACAAACCTGCACGTACATTTGTGCTAGTGCACACACCCACACATACACAGAAAGTCAGGTGTGGAGGTGCACACACACACACACACACACACACACACAGAGGAAGTCAGCTGTAGAGGTGCACACACACGCACACACACACCTATACATAGAAAGTCAGGTATGGAGGTGCACACACACACACACACACACCTATACACAGAAATTCAGGTGTGAAGGTGCACACAGAGAGAGAGAGAGAGAGAGAGAGAGAGAGAGAGAGAGAGAGAGAGAGGAAGTCAGCTGTAGAGGTGCACACACACACACACACACCTATACATAGAAAGTCAGGTATGGAGGTGCACCCCCCACGCACACACAGAAAGTCAGGTGTGCCAGCCAGGTGTGGGAGGGCACACATGCAATTGGAATCCCAGCATTTGGGAGGTTGACCTGGGAGGACTGAGAAGCTACAGCCAGTTTGGGCCACACCTGCGCACACACACAACCTGCTGAACAAAATAAAAAGGTGTATCTTTGGACTGAGGTATAGCACGATGGCGAAACATTTGCCTAGCACTTTCAAAGCCCTAGATGATGTGTAATTTTTGTTGTTGTTGATGAGACAGGATCTCATGTAGCACAGGCCAGCCTTGAAGTAAATAGGTAGCTAACCATGACTTTGAACTCTTGGTCCTTCTGTCTCTACTTCCCAGGTACTGCAATTTCAGGCACGTGGCACCATGCCTGGCTTTAGATGATGTATACTGTGTGTGTGTGTACCTGTTCATGCATGCATGCAGGTATACATATGTTCGTGAGTCCATATGTGTGTGGGGGTTTGGCATGTATGTGCATGTATGTGTGTGACTGAGAAGAACTTCAGGTGTGTTCTTCAGGAGCTATCCACGTTGAAATAGTTTTTATTTTTTAATGTGCATGCATATTTTGCCTACATGTGTACACATACATACATAATTACACGTGTGCCTGGAACATGGGTTACAGAAGGTTGTGAGCTGCCATGTGGGTGCTGGGGGCTGATTCTAGGTTTTCTATAAGACCAGTAAGTGCTCTTACCCACTGAGCCATCCCTCTACCCCCACCTTGTTTTTGTTTTTTAAAACAGGGTCTCTCACTGGGACCCGAGGCTGCCTTATTCAGCCAGGCTGTCTTCACATCTGCAGTTCTGGGATTATAAGCGTGCACCATGTATATGGGTTTTGGGGGTGAGTCAAACTCAGGTCCTCATGCTTCCCTCACTGAGCTACCTCTCCAGCCTTAGAGGATGTATATTTAAAAAACAGACTTCCATTATATTTCTTTGTGCATTGAAGTTCATGCAAAGAAGATTGCTTCCCACCTTCCCATTCCCCACTCATTCCACCTGCTCCATCCTCAACCTTCCTCCCGTCAAGTTCAGTTCTTACTTGCTGTTGCCCTAGCTTATCGCATCTCATCCTAATGAATTAATACCCACCCACCTTGGCTACAACTCTCTCCCACTGCCCACTTGTCTTTCCCACCTCTGTGGTCTTCCCCATCCTTCTAATTTGCCACCAGGCCAGTTCTCTAGCCCAGAGAGAGTACTCACATAGGTGCAATAGCATAGTTTGCCCTCGGTGTCCAAGGCCAGGAACCGAGCACCGCTGGGCACTGACTGCCGCCAAGCCATCACTCTCAGAAGCACCAGATTGGCGATGCTGGAGACAAAGCCCTTAAGTGATTGACAGGGGAAAGCAGAGACTCCAGTCTTCGTTTCCTGTTTGGAGCAGATCTGAGTCAGGGACCTGGAGCTCAGAAGCGGTAGGAGATATCCAAGTCTGGTGTTAGGTGCGGGGTTCTTCTCAATGCCTTGGTCTTGGCATCTATCTGCCTCACACGAGCTTGTCCCCACTGTGGTTCTAAGGTTGTGGGAAGTGATTCCCACTTGGCTTTCACTCTTACCTCACCCTCCTTGACACTTCTGGTCACAACCATCTGGTCATCCTGCTTCATAATACTCATCTTCCGTTCCATGGGGAGGATGGGAAACTAAAGGCGGGAACACATGGGAGAATCCAGTGCTCACTCTTGAGAGGCTACCCACCTTCCTTCTACTTTGTTTGTTTGTGTTTTGTTTTTCTGAGACAAAGTGGTTCAGAAGAGCATGGAACTCTATGTAGCCCAGGATAGCCTTGTACTTGCAGCAATTCTCCTGCCTCAACTTCCCAAGCACTGGCTAATACAGTCGTCATCTTCTTCTTTTTTTCTGGGACAGGGTTTCTCTGTGTAACCCTTGGAACTCATTCTACAGACCAGGCTAGCCTCAAACTCACAGATATTCACCAGCCTCTACCTCCTGGAGTGCTGGGATCAAAGGTGTGCACCACCCACACCCCAGCTTCAGTTTTATTTTTATTTACGAAAGACAAAATCCAAGTGTCACGACTTGGATCTAAAATAAAAATGACAACCAGGGCCAGCAAGATGTCTCAGTGGGTAAGAGTACACAACACAAGCCTGACAACTTGAGTTGGAGTCTGGATCCTAAGGCCTCTGGTAGAAGGAGAGAACCAACGCCCAGACATTGTCCTCTGACTGGTTCCTTTTGTATCCTCCTCCAAAATAACAACAACAACAAAATTAAAATGGCAAACAGCTCCCCGTGGTGGTATACTCCTATAATCATAGCATTTGAGAGACTGGGGCAAGAAGATTGAGCTGGAGTCCAACCTTTTCTACCTAAATCCCTGTCTCAATAAAGCAAAAAGATAAAAATAAGACATATAACAGATGGACAGAAAGCCTTATAGCCTGATGTATGTATGGTTCAGCACTTGGGAGGGGGAAAGCAGGGGGATTAGGGGTTCAAAGTCATCCTTAGCTACATGTCAAGTTTGAGGTTAGCCTGGCTATGAGACTGTCTAAAAAAAAAGAAGAAGAGCTGGGTGGTGCCCGCCCTTAATCCTAGCACTGGGGAGGCAGAGGCAGGCAGATCTATTGAGTTCAAGGATAGCTTGATCTACATAGCTAGTTCCAGGACATCCAGGGCTACACAAAGAAACTCTATCTCAAAAACAAAAACAAAAACAAAAACAAAAGAAAAGAAAGAAAGAAAAGAGAAGAAAAAAGAAAGGAAGGAAAGAAGGAAGGAAGGAAGGAAGAAGGAGGAGGAGAAGAAGGAAGAAGAAGAAGAAGAAGAAGAAGAAGAAGAAGAAGAAGAAGAAGAAGAAGAAGAAGAAGAAGAAGAAGAAGAAGAAGAAGGAAGCCCTTCCATTTAGGGAGGTCAGGAATAGGGCCATGCTATGTTATAGGAAAGCAAACCAAGGTACACCACAGAACAGAACACAAGCTTGAAGTTGGTAATAGATTCTCTGGCAAAGCTATTATGCCCAAGTTATCTCCCATGTTCAGATAGGTCATGGCCCCTTGGAGGAAGTTATTGGAAGGCTGGGTGAGGGGTGTAGAGCCTGAAGATTTAAAGGTTAGGTGGTGACAGGCTCCAGGGAATAACCAGACTCTGGGAAAGGCCATGTCACATGGCCTTGGGAAATGGACAGGCTTTCAGGCTGGAGGAGGCTCTAGCGGGCTGGGTCCATTTGTGCCTTCATAGAGCATTAACAGCACTAATGGAGGTGGCTGTCCATCAGGCTGTGTGTGATGGAGGAGCAAATTGATGGTAGATGGTAGTGCGATATTCTCCTGGGGTCCCCCCCAACTCCCGAAGGGTCTGTGTTCTTGCTTACCCTCGACCCCGCGGCAAGGCTAGGGGAGGCTGGGAGTAAGTACCTTGATGAACTCATGGCTGTGCTGCTCCATTAGCTCCAGATTATTGCTTAGGTAGCCTGGGATACAGGGAGGCAACTGCTGATATTACAGGAGACAGGAGTCTGCGACGGACCCTAGGGAAGGTGCTAGCCCAGACTGGCGCAATGTCGCCATGGGGAATTGACAGGGTGGTCAGCACGCTCTTGTCCTGGGAATAGCCTCCTCTCCCCTTCCCCCATGGCTCACCCTAGTCCCCAGGTAAGTTAAGGGTGGGTGCAGAACCCAACTGAGGACTCATGGATTGGAGTGGGGGCCGTGGAGGGAAGATGTAGTTCGGGGCAGCCGGCAAGCTGAACTCTACCTAGGAGGGAGCTTCCACACAGTGATTTATCTAGGAAGCCTCGGCTAAAGGCGTGAACCATTAGACAGTGGGTCAGGATGCCCAGGCTGTCTTTGTACTTTCCTCTCTGCACCTCGATGGTCAGCTCTCCCTGAGGTTCCCCTGTGTCTGAGACAATGGCCAGAGTCTCAGAGAAGAACAGCAGAAGTTCCTCCGTCCCTGTGTGGCGAGAGAAGCTCCCTCCAGGTTCAGCCTCTACACCCCTCAGCACCCACATACCCCTTGCCATGTCTCCCTTGTCCTTGCCAGCCCTGCCACCCCTCCCTGTCATCAGCAGGTGCCAGCTAGTGAATAGCCCTATCTCCCCCACAGGCTTGTCCCTCCACAAACTTTAGCAAATAGGTATCAGGTCTTTTCTGAGTCTCAAGGGAATCAAACAGAAAGAGACAGGGCCTGCCTAGGCCTCCTGTATTCCCTGGTCCCCAGACTCACACCTCTCCCCATGCCCACCCCACCATGTGGCTCACGGAAAGAGTCAAGGAAACTGATGGCTTCAGCATTGGCCTCTGGGAACGGCTGCTGCTCTTGTTGCTGTTGCTGTTGCTGATGCTGATGCTGATGCTGCTGGCTTACATGGTGGTGTTGGTTCTTCGCTCTGGCACCTACAAGAGGAAGAATAAACTAAGATGTCAGACCCTGAGGAAAGGGGCAGGGTAGACAGGGGCACCCTAACCTTGATCCCTGTCCCCAGGAACTAAATTTACTAAGACCATGCTCAGGTAAGATTGTAAGGGAGAAATATCCCTTCTCCTTCTACCCACAGATCAGCAGCCCACTCCCCACCTGTGGGGGAGACTTTGGAAGACATGCTGATTGAGACTAGTCAGTCTGTGGCTAGTTGTCTCCATGGCAACCGGAAGCGAGGTACTGCCCCTTAAAGGGCAATCACCCTATTTTATTGAGCCTAGATTTGCCAGGCTGTGGGGCTTAGCCCAAGCTTGAGAGGTAGGTTGTCCGGCAGAGGGAGCCTTTGACATTCATAAGAGCCAAGGGTAAAGCGGTTATACAACTTTTGTGGAAGCGAGATGGCTCAGCTGTTGAGAGCACTGGCTACTTTTCTAGAGGACTAGGGTTTGAATCCAAGCATCCACATGATAGCTCACAACTGTCTCCAGTTCTGTGGGACCCAACTCCCCCTTCTACATGCACATACACCTGGCAAAACAACCAAATACATAAATTATAACAATAATAAAAGGAAGTAGTGGATGCGTGTCTCATTCCAGCACTTCTGACTCCGAGAAAAAACAATCAGGAGTTTACAGCCAGACCTAGGCTCACACACAGAGTCCACCTCAAGGTTGTCTGACTGTCTTTGTGAGCTATAGTCCTAATATGGATGAATATCTCTAACCTCTCATTCATTCATCACCTTCATGCTGGTGGAAAAGCCATGCACATTCAGTAGAAACTATTTCTAGCTCCTGGGCCCACCACTTGTTGTTCACTTTTCCTGCAAGCTGCAACTTTCGGCCAGCCAGGCAAACTGGAGGCAGAGCATCCTACACTTTGCAGAGGGCTGTGTGGCTCATAGCCTGCTCCCTTTTCACCTTACCATGCTGTCACCGATGGCAAGTGCTCAGAGATCTAACCCTTCACAAGTGAAGGTGCATTCATACATGTAGGCATAATGACAATAGCACTGGGAAGCATGGCAAACTCTTTGGTTGGCTGGTTGGTTTTGTTGTTGTTTTAGAGACAGTGCCTCTCTCTCTCTCTCTCTCTCTCTCTCTCGATATATATATATATATATATATATATATATATATATATATATATATATATATCCCTTGACGCCCTGGAACTCACTATGTAGAACAAACTGGCCTTGTACTCATAGCGATCCACTTGCTCCTGCTTCCCAAGCACTGGGGTTAAAGACGTGTGCCACCACACCTAGCTTCGTAGCAAATGCTTAAATGACATCTGTCCTCAGTCGTACATGGTTTTAATGGCATTTATGGACATTGTCTCATTTATCAGACTAGCTTGGCCCAAAGTACTTTCCTTGTTTTGTTTTGTTGCTTTGAGACAGGGTCTTGTGTAGTTCAGGCTGGCTTCAAAGTTAATATGACCTGAAGTCTCTGACCTTCCTGTCTCCCTGTCCTGAGTGCTAAGATTACAGATGTGTGCCACCACTCTCAGTTTATGAGTTGTTGGGGGATCGAACCTATGGCATTGCGCATGCTGAGCAAGTACTCTACCAACTGAGCTGCATCTCAACCACTGAAGTACTTTAAAAATATTTTTGACATAAGGTTTCTCTATATATTGATGAGAACTCTCTATGTAGACCATGTTGGCCTTGACCTCATAGAGATTCACGAGCCTCCTGAGTGTAGGGACTAAAGGCATGTGCCACCACCTGGGCCTTTATTTTTTTTAAAGATAAATTCTTACTATGTAGCCCAGGCTAGCCTAGAGCTTGTCATTATTCTGTCTCTGCCTTCCAGTTTTGGGATTACAGGTATGCACTGCCATGCTTGGCTGACATACTTTATAACTTCAACTTTGTGGATAAGAAAACCAAGGCATAGAGAAGTTCAATGGCACCAAACATTGCATAGTTAAGATGGGACCAGAAAGGGTTAGACTTGAGTCTATGCATTCAGGCAGCAGGTGGGCAGGATAGCGCCTGGTGTGACTCAGCACTTGGGAGATCAGGGTAAGAGAATCAGAAACCCAGATCATTCCCAGCTATATATTGAATTTGAGGCTATCTTGGGTTGTATGAGACTCTGTCTCAAAAAATGAAAAATCAACCTGGGCAGTTGTAGCACATGCATTTAATCCCAGCACTTGGGAAGCAAAGGCAGGCAGATCACTGAGTCTGGTCTACAGAGTGAGTTCTAGGACAGCCAGCACTTCACTGAGAGACCCTGTCTTGAATAAAAATGAAAGAAAGGAAGGAGAGAGGGATGGAGAAAAAAAGGAGAGAGGGAAGGAGGGAGGGAAGGAAGAAAGAAAGAGAAAGGAAGGAAGAAGAAAAAGAAAAGAATTGAGTTGAGGCAACAATAAAGCAATAGGTGAAAGATGACTGGGTGAAAGGTGATACCTTGAATAGAAACTTCTGGTGCATTGGGTCTTCTGGAACTGTAGTTACAGATGGTTGTGAGCCATGTGGGTGCTGGAATGGGGTTCTCTATAAGAACAGCAAGTGCTTTTAAACATTGAGTCATCTCTCTAGCCTATTTAGTTTTTAATGAGTTTATTTATCATTATTGTGATGTACTTTTTGGGCTAGTGTGAACATATCCTAGGGTAAGAGGACAAGCTAGGTGGGTGGAAATTGGGGGTGTTGGGTAGGACAAACAGGCTCTGGCCACTGAGGTAGGCGTCTACTGAGCAGCATCCACGATCTGGAGAAAAATGCTGTGTGCTGAGTTCTGCAAGTATTAATACATTCAGTGCTCACATCAATCTTCTTGTCTTGGTACCATTATATCCCTGTTGACAGATGATGAACCCAGGTTTAGAAAGGCCACCTGCCTATAAAAGGGAAATATGGACTCCAATCTATCTGGGGTTCCAGAGTCTTTGCTGGTTTGTTTGAGACACAGCCTCACTGGATAGCCCTGCCTGGCTTGGAGCTTGCTATAAGTCTGTCCTCAAAATTATAGACATTCCTCTGCCTCCCCCTCCAAGTACAGGGATTACAGGCCTGTGCATCATACTTGGCTGTAGCTCTTATTCTTGAACACTGTGTTCTAGTGCCCAATGGACTGGTCCTGTGCTTATTACAATATCGGCAGAGGGAGACATTGCTCCTTAGCTGTGCATCTCTCTTAGTTCTAACCAGTTCACAAAACTCAGTGACATCACCTGTCTCTGGATACATGCAGCCAATCAGAGGCAGGACCTATCTTTGTATCCAGAGCAACCCAACTTCAAATCCCCTCTCCCATTAGGCTTGAACTTGGCCTGTATGAACCTTCAGGATTGGGTTCTCATCCAGTTTCTTCTTTCTTCTTTTGTTTGTTTTGTTTTATTTTGTTTGTTTTAAGACAAGATTTCCTGTATGGGTCTGGCTGGCCTGGAATTCATTATGTAATCCAGGCTGACAGTAGACATCTATCTGCCTCTTCCTCTCCAGTGCTGAGATTAAAGGTATTCAGGCCTTACACCTGATTTCAATGGTTGTGCCTGTGAGCAGGACTTCAGAAATCAAGATGGTCCCAGCCTCTCACTGACATATGCACAGACACATGAACACACACATGAACATGCACTCAAACATACACACGGCTCCCACATTCGTGTCTGCAATATGGGAAAAAGAAATGAACCAAAAAAACGGGCCATTTGCTGGTCGCTTTTGAAACTGAGTGATTCCCATACCTTTGGGGTCATACCTTGTGTTTCACCTCTATTTCCAGTGGACGTTGGTGGGAGCTTATACCTAGGTTGTTGGGCATTGTTTCTAGTGTCAGCCACCTGCTGTTTGGGGCTCTTCCCCTTCCAGTTCAGTGTGATAATGTTGGGACTGATGGAGCCCATCCTTGGTCATATGACCCGAGATGGACCAGTAGAACTTCATTCCTGGAACTAAAGGAGATTCTGCAAGGCTTGATGATCTGGTAGCCTGTGAGGCTGAAATTTCTAGAGACCATCTGTGTCCTGCAAGGAGAAAGCCAGATAGGGGAGAAACAAATACAGAAGAGAGTAGAACTGAATGAAGATATTCTTATTTATTTTTGTTTGTGGTTTTTTTTTAATCTTTTGGTTTTATTGTTGCTTGTTTGATTGTTGAGACAGAGTAGGCTAGAGATAGCTGCGTGTAGCCCAGGCTGACTTTGGGCTCCTGCCTCTCCTGCCTCTGTCTTTGAAGTGCTGGGATTATTGGTGCGTGTGCCACCATACTGGTCCTGCTCCTGTTGTGAGACAGGGTCTCGTCGCTTGGGATGTAGCCCAGTCTGGCTTCAAACCTGCAATCCTCCTACATATTCCCCCTAATGAAGATGTTCTGAATCCCTGGCTGAAGTCATCACGATGTGACTTGGAGTATATCAAGTTGCCTACCCAACCCATGGATGCTGTCCCTCTTACAGCCTCCAAATTACTTGCCCAAAACATTGCCAATCAGGACAGAGCTGGGATTGATCCCCAGGGGTCTAAGGCTGATGGCACCCACTGTTCTATGAACAGAAACCTCATGTGTGATTGTTTGGGAAGCACCGGCTGAAGATATACATGCTCACCTGTCATTCAAACTGTATAGTCAGGTGGGAGGATCCCCAAGGCCCCGTTGAAATGCTTCCCCAGCCCAAGAACTATCAATAAGAGCTCCTTCCAGTGAGCATGCCCAGAGTGATCTGTGTGGTCCAGGGCCTGGGGCTTATCTACTAGGACAGCAGTGAGCCAAACTCATCACAGAGCTAGCCTTCATGAGGAAGGTGAGGATCATGGCCCATCCCCACCTAAGAGGGAGGCTAACCATGCTTGCCTGGCTTGGTATGGTGCTCTACCAGTGTGTGCTGGTCTTCAGCCATATAAGGCCAACTGTAGAAGTATTACAGTAGGGGTCCCTTTATTTCATGGTTTCCCATTTTAAGAAATATCTTGAGCCGGGTGTTGGTGGCGCACACCTTTAATCCCAGCATTTGGGAGTCAGAGGCAGGTGGATCTCTGTGAGTTTGGGGCCAGCCTGGTCTATAGAGCTAGTTCCAGGACAGGTGCTTGTTTCAAGCTGGAGAGATGGCTCAGTGGTTAAGAGCACTGACCTGGGTTCAATTCTCAGCACCCACATGGCAGCTCACAGATGTCTATAACTCTAGTTCCAGGGGATCTGATGATGTCACACAGACATACATCCAGGCAAAACACCAATGCACATAAAATCAGAATAAACAAATCACTTTAAAAATCCTTTTAAAAAAAAGACATATCTTTAATTACCGTCATGAACTCATAACCAATCTTGCTTACTAAAAACATAAACAAGTATCTGATGGGGGATGTTCTTTTGTATGCTGTGAATATATGTTTCTCTTATTGGTTGATGAATAAAGCTAATTCAGCCAATGGACAGGCAGGATGTAGCCAGGCAGGAAGTATAGGCAGGACCACCAGACTAGAATTCTGGGAAGAGGAACTCAGAGAGTAAGTTGCAACGGAGATGTCCTGTAGCTACCCAGGAAGAAAGAGGCCTAGCCATTCTCCAGTAAGCCAATCCACATGGAGATACATAGATTAGTAGAAATGGGTTAATAATTAAGAGAGAGCTGGCCAATAAGAAGCCTGAGCCATCATCCAAACAGTTTATAATTAATACAAGCCTCTGTGTGTTTATTTGGGACCAGATGAGGCAGAAACTCCCGTCCACACGTGGTGCCCATCCACAAATATCTACAAAAAATAAATTCAGTGTGGTAAAGCAAGAGGTGAACAGGAGGGCTCCAGCTTGTATGTTTGTTTATTTTGTTGTTTGAGACAGGGTTCTCTGTATAACAGTCCAGGCTGTCCTAGGACTCACTCTGTAGAACAGGGTGGCCTAGAGATCCACCTGCCTCTGCCTCCTGAGTGTCATGATTAAAGGTGTTCGCCACCACTGCCCGGCTGTAGCTTTTTCTTTTTTACAGATGCAGTAGAACAAGCTAGAGAAGAATGAATGAATGAATGCATAAATAAAAGCCTGCTGGGTGTGGTGGTAGCACACACCTTTAATCCCAGCACTCAAGAGGCAGGGGCAGGTGGAGCTCTGCGTTTGAGGCCAGCCTGGTCTACAGAGCCAGTTCTGTAACAGCCAGAGCTACACAGGGAAACCCTGTCTTGAGAAACCAAAAGAAGAACAAGTGACAAGCTGGAGTGAAGGTTGTGCTCCTGACGTTCTCTTCATTGCTGGACTGTGTCTAGTGGTGCCCTGTGTGTCTCAAGCTGAGGGAAAGACCAGGTACCTCTATTGCAAACTCTGAACCAAAGCACACAGGCTGCACACAGGAATGTGTGCAGGGCATTGTTTCTGGGCTGTTCTAGTGCTACTAGGGATTGAACCCAGGGCCTAGTACATGAAAGGCTGCCCAGAGCTCTTTCCACGTAAGAACCATCAGTCATGGGACCCGGAATGGAGTCAGGCAACAGCGAGCAGGTTCCCCGCTGCTGCTACCCATGCAGTAGCACAGATAAGCCATTGAGTTAAGTCATTCATTCAACATTTATTGAGCGCCTACTGTGTGCCAGGCACCGTGCTAGGCGCGGAATACAGAGATGCATAAGATACAGTCCATGCCCTTAAGGATTCACAGTCTAGAAGGGGAGGCAAACATGTAAACAAGTAAAATAGGGTGTGATGGGTGCCATGAGGGAAGCATTTACAAGGTGCGGAGGTAGCCTAGGAGATAGGGGTGAGGGACGCCCTCCTGGGGGAGGGGCCTGAGAGAGGCTAACATAGGCGTTTGATAGGCAAAGGAGGCAGGAGGAGCGGGAAGGCATTCCAGCTGAAGAAACAGCATGAGCGAAGGCACGAAGGCGTGGAACTGCGTCTATCTTGGGGCGGGGAAGGCTAACTAGTCTGGTGGTATTGCTAGAGTGGGTTCCAAAGGCTTGGGGCTGGAGAGGGCAGCCGAGGCCAGATGAAAGGGGAAACTGAGGGCAGGGGTGTCTTGGCGGGTCATTAGCGGGCACTGCACAGCCCAAGGGAAGGCTCTGACAAAGAAAGTGTGGCTCCTGGCTAACCCAAGTGTGCCTGCTAAACCACCACAGCAGTCCTCACTGAGGCCCCAGAGGACCCTCGACCTGAGAGCAGAGGACAAGTGGATTGGGAGTGGGGGATGAGCACTGGGGTAGGCTCAGGCCTGGGATCCTGGAAGCTGCCACTTGAGCTCCCTGCCTCAGACCTCTGCTTTCTGTACACTGCCAGCATGGGGTCCGGGATCCAGTGGGAAATCAGGAGGGGATGGAAGTTTTTGGCACAGTGCAGGGAGCCAGATCAGGACCAGGACTGCAAGACCAGCCTCTAATGACTTCAGGAAGAAAAGAGCTGAGGATAAACAAGAGATGCTAAGGAGGACAGTAGACAGGAAGGGATTCCTAAGAACAAGGGCCCAAAGGAGAAAGCAGCATCTCTCAGGCAGACCACAGCTCACTCTCCCCTGGGAAGGCAGGGCCTTGTGACCCGCGGCAGGAGCAGAGGCCAGTGGCAGACCCAGGACAGATGTGCACGGGGGTGGCTCTGTATCCCAGCATCCTGTGTCTCTTTGGCCCGAGGCAGAAGATTCCTTGGCAATTGAGGACCTTTCCCTCTATCCATCAGGGGATTCGTTGAGGCAGGGATTGGCCAGAGCTTCCAGCCCTTGGGTGTTCTTAGGAATGGCTCTTCCTGGCAATGTCTTAGCAGGGTGGGTAAGGTGGGGCTTAGAGCATCAGTCACCCAGAGTCTGGCTGTCCCTGTTGGTGACCACTCAATCAAGCACCACACCTTACATCATTTTTTCAGGGTGAGCTTCTCCCTGGATGGGAAAGGTGGAGGACAGACTAGCCTGGTCAGTGCTCTGCTCTCCCGGGTTCTAGGGCTCCGGTGGGAGTGTGGCCTCTGGAAAGGGAGCCAAGAGCAGCCTTCGCCATCTGGCTATTGGGCCACAAGTGGGGGAAGGGAGGCAGGCTCTTCAAGGCAGCAAAGTCTAGAGACGTTCTGGGTGCTGCTTTCCTCTTACCCTAAACGCCCAGTTGTACCGTGTGGACTCCCCAAGGGTTCTACCGTTTCCTCCTCTAGGTCCCACTGCCTGGGCTCTGCCCTCCCTGATGGGTCAGGAGGAATGGTGCTGCCTAGGGCAACAATGGCGGTGGTGGTATTAGTGGTGGAGAGGATGGCGAGGTGAGAGTGGTGGGTGGCTTCCCCTGTGTGGGGTCAGCCTGGACTGGGGTGGGCTGGGGGTATCACTTGCTCTTGTGCATGTCCTTCAGCCGGCGCAGCTCCTCCAGGAGCTGGGCCCGGGAGCAGCCATCGTCACTGCTGGAGCCTGGCCCTGGCCCCAGAGCTTCCTGTAGTGCCAGGCAATGGGTTCTCAGGAACGGGTTGTAGGCGCGCTCCTCTCCCAGGGTGGATGGGCACTGCAGAGCAAGAGACAGGGATGGGCGGATAGGATCTGGAAAAACAGTGATGTCTGTCCTAGCCCCTACCCTCCTAGGGCAGGCAAGGGGCCAAACTCTGGAAATTGCTTGCAGGCCCCAGCTGGACAGCCATAGGCACTGGCTAGTTCCCCATCTCATCCCACCCCATCCCCCAGGCCTCACTGTGTCCTACAGTCCACCCCCTCCATCCCCAGGCCTCACTGTGTCCTACAGTCCATCCCCTCCATCCCCAGGCCTCACTGTGCTCCTGCGGTCCACCCCCTCCATCCCCAGGCCTCACTGTGCTCCTGCGGTCCACCCCCTCCATCCCCAGGCCTCACTGTGCTCCTGCGGTCCATCCCCTCCATCCCCAGGCCTCACTGTGTCCCACAGTCCACCCCCTCCATCCCCAGGCCTCACTGTGCTCTTGCGTTCCATCCGCTGCCTCTGCA